TTTCTCCCCCTTTGTACGGCTTTTCAGTCCTCGCCACCCAACCTGCAAGCTGTGGGATTCATGGGGTTGCAGTGCTTGCCCATGGCTGGGTTTCCTGGGAGTGAGGGACAGGAGAGACTCTGGTGCCTTTGTGATATATAGGGCTTATTGCCACCTGTCCCTAAGCCAGAGGGGCTCGTCCTTCCATAGTCACAACCTTGGCTCTGTGGCTCAGCTGCTGCCTGCAGCTTGCTTCCAGCCCAGCTCACACCCAACTTTCAGGTGGAACAGCCAGGTGAGCAGGAGGCACTTGGGCTAGGCTTAGAACCACTTGGAGGTTTTTATGACTTTTAGGAAAACAAACAAACAAACAAACAAACAAACAAGGCCCTCTAGTGGTGTACCATAATAAAAGACAAAAGTGGAAAGGACCTAACAGAAGCAGAAGACATCAAGAAGAGGTGGCAAGAATACACAGAGGAACTATACCAGAAAGAAATGGATGTCTGGTATACCCCAGGTAGTGTGGTTGCTGACCTTGAGCCAGACATCCTGGAAAGTGAAGTCAAATGGGCCTTAGAAAGCACTGCAAATAACAAGGCCAGTGGAAGTGATGATATTCCAGCTGAACTATTTAAAATTTTAAACGATGATGCTGTGAAGGTGCTACACTCAATATGCCAGCAAGTTTGGAAAACTCAGCAGTGGCCAGAGGATTGGAGAAGATCAGTCTACATCCCAATCCCAAAGAAGGGCAGTGCCAAAGAATGCTCCAACTACCGCACAATTGCACTCATTTCACACGCTAGCAAGGTTATGCTTAAAATTCTTCAAGGCAGGCTTAAGCAGTATGTGGAGAACTCCCAGAAGTGCAAGCTGGATTTCGACCGGGCAGTGGAACCAGAGACCAAATTGCAAACATGTGCTGGATTATGGAGAAAGCTAGAGAGTTCCAGAAAGACATCTACTTCTGCTTCATTGACTAGACAAGAGCCTTTGACTGTGTCGACCACAGCAAACTATGGCAAGTTCTTAAAGAAATGGGAGTGCCTGATCACCTCATCTGTCTCCTGAGAAATCTCTATGTGGGACAAGAAGCTCCAGTTAGAACTGGATATGGAACAACTGATTGGTTCAAAATTGGGAAAGGAGTATGGCAAGGCTGTATATTGTCTCCCTGCTTATTTAACTTGCAGAATTCATCATGCAAAAGGCTGGGCTGGATGAATCCCAAGCCGGAATTAAGATTGCCGGAAGAAATATCAACAACCTCAGATATGCAGATGACACAACCTTGATGGCAGAAAGTGAGGAGGAATTAAAGAACCTTTTAAGGAGGGTGAAAGAGGAGAGCGCAAAATATGGTCTGAAGCTCAACATCAAAAAAACTAAGATCATGGCCACCAGTGGCGTAGCGTGGGTTGTCAGCACCCGGGGCAAGGCAAGTAATTTGCGCCCCCTAACCCATGGATTTGCGCCCCCTAACCCGTGGATTTGCCCTAACCCCAGATGTTGCGCCCGGTGCGGCCGGCCCCCCCTGCACCCCCCACCCACGCCACTGATGGCCACTGGTCCCATCACCTTCTGGCAGATAGAAGGGGAAGAAATGGAAGCAGTGAGAGATTTTACTTTCTTGGGCTCCATGATCACTGCAGATGGTGACAGCAGTCACGAAATTAAAAGACGCCTGCTCCTTGGGAGAAAGGTGATGGCAAACCTGGACAGCATCTTAAAAAGCAGAGACATCACCTTGCCAACAAAGGTCCGTATAGTTAAAGCCATGGTTTTCCCAGCAGTGATGTATGGAAGCGAGAGCTGGACCATAAAGAAGGCTGATCGCCGAAGAATGGATGCTTTTGAGTTATGGTGCTGGAGGAGACTCTTGAGAGTCCCATGGACTGCAAGAAGATCAAACCTCTCCATTCTGAAGGAAATCAGCCCTGAGTGCTCACTGGAAGGACAGATCCTGAAGCTGAGGCTCCAAGACTTTGGCCACCTCATGAGCAGAGAAGACTCCCTGGAGAAGACACTGATGCTGGAAAAGATGGAGGGCAGAAGGAGAAGGGGGCGACAGAGGACGAGATGGTGGGACAGTGTTCTCGAAGCTACCAGCATGAGGGAGGCAGTGGAAGACAGGAGGGCCTGGCGTGCTCTGGTCCAGGGGGTCACAAAGAGTCGGACACGACTAAACAACAACAACAGTGGTGCATCAACGAACGTGCTAGCTCAAAGCTACGGCAGGGTCTGGTTTGGTTTCAAGGTGGATGGGGAGCTGCATGTTGAGATCCCTGCATTGCAGGGGGTGGACTAGATGACCCTCGGGGTTCCTTCCCACGCGACAGGGGAACTGCAGCCCTGATCTCCCAAGGCCACTTGCCGGACTAGTCCAACCCCTGCACTTCCCGGGAGAGTTTCTCATTTGGGGCATCTTCCCCGAGGAGGGGGCTCCAAGGCCGCCCAAGGAAGCAAGAGGGAGAGAGACGCCCCCGAGGAGCCCGGAGGAAGGACCCTCTGCGTCCCTTACTCGGCAGGGCGTCGGGGGCGCAGGGCTCCATGGCGTCGTCGGGGCGAGGGGCGGCGAGGGCGCGCGGGACGCGTTGCTAGGGGCGCCCAACGGCCGGCGCTCCGTGGGCCCCGGGATGCCTAGACTCGCTCCGCCTCCGGGTCCCTTCGGAAAGTCCCCTCCTGGCCGCCGAGGCTGCCCGCACCTTCGGGGGACCGGCGTCAAGCGGCGCCGGACTGGGCAGCTGGCGCGCAGGTCTGCTCTGGAAACCCCCTGGCTCAGCTCCAGAGCAGGATCCCGCCTGTCCTCTCCCGGGATCTCTCCCTGCCCAGGGTCCTGCTCGCAGGCTTTCTCGGGGGAAGGCTGGACCACAGAACTTCCCTAGCTAGAAGCCAATTTAAGGAAAAGCGGGGGAAAGATTAAATGTGAAAGGAAAGTGGGCCACGTATAGAGATTTATTGATCGAGGTAGAAAATAAGTTAAAATGGAAAACATTTGAAGAAATGACGAGTTAATGACGGATTGGTTGCAATATCATCAGTTAAATGGTGTGTTCAATGAGGATAAAAAGAATGGTTTTGATACAACAAGATCCAGGCTGGAGAGAGAGCTTTTGGATGATAAGAGAAAAATATTATCAAAAATGTGCAAATTATTATTGGAATGGCATACCAAAGATGAAGAGGTGAAAATAATAATAATAATAATAATAATAATTTATTATTTATACCCCGCCCATCTGGCTGGGCCTCCCCAGCCACTCTGGGCGGCTTCCATAAAAACCAAAAATACAGTAAAATCACATGTTAAAAACTTCCCTGAACAGGGCTGCCTTAAGATGTCTTCTGAATGTTAGGTAGTTGTTTATCGCTTTGACATCTGCTGGAAGGGCGTTCCACAGGGCGGGCGCCCTCTGCCTGGTTCCCTGTAGTTTTGCTTCTCGCAATGAGGGAACCGCCAGAAGGCCCTCGGCGCTGGACCTCAGCGTCCGGGCAGAATGATGGGGGTGGAGACGCTCCTTCAGGTATACTGGGCCGAGGCCGTTTAGGGCTTTAAATGGTAATGATACAATGGGCTAAAGATTTTGGATCTAATATTCAGTTAGAATCATGGGAAAGGTTATAGAATGAAGGAATCAAATTCACCACATGTAGTGCATTAAAGGAAAATGTTATGAAAATGATGTATAGATGGTATCTAACACCAACTAAACTTGCTAAAATGTATAGGACAAGAAATAAGGAGTGTTGGAAATGTAAAGAAAAAGAAGGGAACTTACATCATATGTGGTGGAATTGTAACAAGGTAAAAGCGTATTGGGAAATTGATATATAATGAGTTAAAGAAAATGTGTAAGTACACCTTTCTTAAAAAGCCAGAAGCACTTTTATTGTGTCTAGTGAGTGAAGAGATGCCATGTTGTTGTTTAGTCGTTTAGTCGTGTCCGACTCTTCGTGACCCCATGGACCAGAGCACGCCAGGCTCTCCTGTCTTCCACTGCCTCCCGCAGTTTGGTTAGACTCATGCTGGTAGCTTCGAGAACACTGTCCCACCATCTCCTCCTCTGTCGTCCCCTTCTCCTTGTGCCCTCCATCTTTCCCAGCATCAGGGTCTTCTCCAGGGAGTCTTCTCTTCTCATGAGGTGGCCAAAGTATTGGAGCCTCAACTTCACGATCTGTCCTTCCAGTGAGCACTCAGGTCTGATTTCCTTAAGAATGGAGAGGTTTGACCTTCTTGCAGTCCATGGGACTCTCAAGTGTCTCCTCCAGCACCATAATTCAAAAGCATCAATTCTTCGGCAATCAGCCTTCTTTATGGTCCAGCTCTCACTTCCATAGGGTGATCAAAAACTGTTTATGCATGCAACAACTGCAGCAAGAATCCTTTTAGTCCCAAAATGGAAGCAAGAAGAAATACCAACGAAAGAAGAGGGGCAGGCGAAGATGATGGACTTTGCAGAATTGGCAAAGCTGACCGGAAAAATCCGAAACCAATGTGATCAAGCTTTCCAAAAAGACTGGAGTAAATTGATAAAATACTTGAAGGACCATTGTAAGCAATTAACGACACTAGCAGGGTTGTAAGAAGACTTGTATTGATAATTGTCACTACCCTTTTATATTTATTTTAAAATTGTGATATTCTGAATGAAACGTAAAATGGAAAATGCATAAATGCTGTTACGGAAATTACGGGGGGGGCACATCCTTAAAGTTAAATGTTACAAATATTATGCCTGAATGTATCCTTTCAACTTGACAGCTCAGGGAAGTTACCTAGCTTTAAAAATAATATAAAATCAACTCCTTTGATTTCCTCCATTCCAAAGCTACTTTCCCCTTGAAAAAGGACTGCAGGAAGTTTCCAGAGGTGACAAGTGCTGAGCTGATTGTTGGCCAAGGAAAGCCTAATCCCATCCCCCGACTTGCCAAGGGGCCAGACATGCAAAGGAAGTTCTATTGTACTTTGGGTGGTGGGACTTCAGAGGTGTTTGCCTGTGCTAATCTTATACCCGAGAGTCTTGCCCTGCCATGTCTGCTTAGGCGAATCTTGTACCAGTGTAACCCCTGTCTACCCCTCCCCTTTTGTGACATGTTAGTGATGTAGCAGTGATGCTGTACAAACTGCATTCCTGGGATATGGTGGGAAAGTTTTAAAAGTCCTTGTCACCCCATCCGCAGGGTTCAAAATTCCTCTTTGAACCTGTTGCGCAATAAACTTTGGTCTACAGCTATTTCTTCCGGTTGGTGGCTGGAATCCTTCCTTTATTCTGCAGGGACCTGCGGGCTCTGGCCGACCAGCTGGGGGACTGAACAGCCTCACACCTAGATTTTTCCGTAACAATGCTATGATATACGAATGAATTTTGAAAACCATGAGGTGGGCGGGAGGGTAACTGACAGGCTCGTATGAGCAAAAGAAGTAAAGTGGATAGCAAAGATGTGTTTAAATATTATAAAATGTAAAATTAATAAAAATATTATTAAAAAAGAAGCCGTATCTTGTGTTCCCCTTACCCTCTCCCTGGTCTGACGAGCCCTGATCCAAAAGGCTTGAGACCATTTCCCACACAAGGAGCTGTAGGTCTGGAAGAGTCAAAGGAAGGTGGGATTCTCCCTGACTGCATCTGCTGCCCCCCCCCACTCCCACAAATGACTGCAGTCCCACTGGCTTCTGGAAAAAGGGCCAGCGCCACCTTACGGTACCAGGTGGCTCTACGCAGGAATACAGGAGGTAGCTGCCTTATAGAGAGTTGGTGCATTGGCCCACTGCATGGAGCTTAGGTGGCCCCATGGTTTTCCCTGGGAATGAGGGCAATGAAGCAACCCTTCTGAATCAGACTGAACATGGGTTGGAGCTCAGTGTCCAGCCCACCAAGGGGCAACAGCTAAGAAGAAATTCTGGTACATGCTCTGGTTATCTCCTGCTTGGACTACTGCATGCACTCTATGTCGGTGACTCGGAAACTAGAATGCGGCAACTACACTGGTGACTGGGAGCAGCCGCTGGGACCATATTATACCAGTCCTAAAGGGTCTTCACAGCCTCCCAGTATGTTTCCAAGCACAATTCAAAGTGTTAGAGCTGACCTGGGCAGCAGAGGGCCTTCTCGACAGGGGCGTCCTCCCTGTGGAACGCCCTTCCATCAGACGTCAAGGAGATAAAGAACTACACTACTTTTAGAAGACATCTGAAGGCAGCCCTGTATTGGGAGGTTTTTAACATTTAATGTCTCACTGTGTTTTTCTATTCGACTGGAGGCTGCCCAGAGTAGCTGGGGCAACCCAGTCAGATGGGTGGGGCACAAATAATAAAATTATTTTTAGTAGTAGTACCAGCCCCACTGACAAGCAGCTGCTCTTAGGGGTTCCCGGCAGAGGTCTCTGTGAGCCAGCAGGGATTGAACTTGGGATCTTCTGTACAGCATTTCCCCTGCTATTGGGCTACGATGGTCCTTCTTGCGAGACCCTTTGGCGCAGGAGCAGCAAGGCCCTTCCCCCATCCATGTGCCCTGCATTGTGTGCTCTGCTCTTGGAGATCCATGTTTTCTTTTGCCAAATGCTTGATGGAACTGGGGGGGGGGCACATCTCCAAAGGCCCCACAGGCACCAACCTGCATTTGGTCTACATGAAGCGGCACCATCCCTGCTTCAGGGGTTCAGGGCTCATGTGGCGCAGTCCATCCGGATCCCACCCACAAGCCACGCTGTGGTGGCCACAGCAGCAGAATTCCCAGCAAACCCTTTCCTTGGGGGCCCACCCTGCTCAGCACCCACCACGTCAAATCAGAACTTGGAATAGGAGGTGCTGAACCTGGAGGTGAATGAATGCAAAGGAAGCCTTGCTACTACTTCCAGCTCTGCTCTCAAGCTGAAGTGTCAAGGAGCAGAACTGGCTGAGGCCACCCCGCCTCAGGCAAGCAGGGAAATCCCAAAGGAAAGCCCCGCTGATGGCCAGCACAGCACGCCACGCACAAGGTGTCCCGGAAAGTGGCTTTATTGTCCGTGCTCTGGGATGCTCCTGGAGAGACGGGCCCCAGAAGGAGCAGCTGCCCACACGCCCCGGAGTCCAGCCTCGAGGGGGGCATCTCTGAGGGCAAGCGCCCGGCGAGGGGCTCCCTGGAGCGGCAGCCCCGAAGCACCCGGGGCCCTGCCGTCGGGCGCCGCTGAGAGACCAAGCAGCCCGCAGGTGCCGTCAGGAGGCGCTGACCACGCCGGGCGCCGGCAGGGCGGCGGGAGGCTCGGCGGGCGGGAGGGCCGCTTCCGGGGCGGCGGCCTCGTAGTCGGAGATGCGGCGCTGGACCAGCGAGGGCATGAGGCGGACGTAGGCGGCCATCAGGCGGTGGTTGGAGCGCACCAGCTTCCCGGCGCAGCCGTCCAGGCAGCTCTCCTGCGGGGAAAGAGAGAGGGCTCAGCCCGGCCGGGGTCTCGGGGTCCCGGCGCCCCGCTTCCCTCCCTCCCTGCCGGGCAGCGCTCACCTCCTCGCCGGTCAGCGCCCGGTAGTTCAGGTTGGAGACGCAGCGCTGGAAGCAGAGCTCCGTCATCTGGTTGTAGGCCAGCAGGAAGTCGCGCAGCTGCAACGACAAGGCCAGGCTGGGAAGGGGGGAAGGGAGGAAGGAAGGAAGGAAGGGGACCCCCCCCGGCGCCCCCCCCCGCATTCCCACGAGCCCCACCGACGCGTGTCGCCCGGAAGAGAGTCCCCGCGGGCCCCCCCCGCCTCCCGCGCCCCCCGCCGCCCCCCCCCGCCGCCGCCGCCCGCCTCTCACGCCGCGCAGTTGCTGCTGCTGCTGCTGCTGCTCCATCTTCCTCCTCCTCCTCCTCTCGGGGCTTCCGGATCCACTTCCGGCCTGGCCGAGGCCCCTCCTCCTCCGGCGCCGGGGCGCGTGACGTCGTTTCCGGTCTGCCCGGGGCCCAACGCGGATCCGACGCCCGGAGCCTCCGGGAGCCGCCAGGCAGGTGCGCCGCCGAGCGGAGCGGGAGGGGGAGGGCGGGAGCCGGAGCCGGAGCCGCTTCCCGGGCGAGGGAGGCTCCTCTCCTCCGCCCCTCGGCAGGGGACCCGGGCGCGCCCCCGCCTCGCCCGGAGCGCGCAGCTCGCGGGCCGGGGGGGGGCAGGCCGGGGGCGGGGTCGGCTCCGCCGGTGGCCCTTGGCGCCCTCCGGGGCCCCCGGGCCGGGCTCCGCTTCCTCCCCTCCGGGAGGGGGTCCTGCGTCTGCCGAGGCCGTGGGTGCCCTCGGGGCAAGGCGGGGGGGGGCAGAAGGGGCGCCACTCCGCTCCCCTGGCCGCCCCGCATCTCCGCTGAGGCCGCGGGAGCCAGAGAGGGGGCTCGGGGGTCCCTGCTGGCTAAGAGGCCCTGAGGATCGGGGGGGGGCCCGCTCCCCTCTCCAGCAAGGCCATCATGGCAAGGGGGGGGGTTGTCTTGCTCAAACTCGCCTGCGGGAAGGAGGGAGGGTCCTGGCCAGATCTGGCGAGGGGTCTTGGTTGTGGGGCAGGAGATTCCGCCCTCCAAGTTGGCAGGTTCCCGGGGAAGGGCATAACAATACATTGCCATTTACAGATGTGTACCAACTCCCTCCCCAATAAAACCCACAGTATTAAGCAAATACCCCAAAGCGAACCTGGCGCCTGGCCCTGCCCTTCCGGCCAAGGCTCCTCCGGGGCCACGTCAACCACCAGCCTGGAAGCTCGGCATGTTCCTGGAGTGGGGAGGGAGCTGTTCCCCCTCGCCCCCCCCACCCCAGTGTATGTGCCAACGGGACCCTTGGAGGTGACACGCCATGACTGCCCGCCAGTTATGAAAATAGACTGACTGCATGGGGGGGGGAGGGAAACTGAGGTCCCAGCAAGAAGGGGGGGGCAGCATTGGGCCCCATCTGGGTCGGCTTGCAGGAGGTGCTGCTGCCCCTACCAATTCTGCTTTGGAGAGTTGGGTGCTGATGCCCCCCCCCCGGATTTGGCTCCCTTGAGCTGATGCTCTGTGCTGTGTCTGTGGCTCCTTCCCCACCTCAGGCGTGTGGGACGGGTGGTGTGGCATTTGCCCATGGCACAGTGTGCTGGACCCATTGGCAGGACTTGTCATTAACTTCTGCCCCAGCGGAGCGGCTGGTGCCACTAGGAAGGAGACATGGTTTGTGCTGGATTGCCCCCCGGGGGGTGGCATTCTTCCTGGCACTATTGTTAAACTTTCTGACCTGGCCCAGGTGGTGCCCTGGCTGTAGGCGGTTGTGGGTGGGGGCTTCCTCCCTTGTTGGTGTTCTGTCCATGTGCCTCCGAGGTTTGCTGGGCCTGCTCCCTTCTCCTTCCTGCATTTGGGAGAAGAAGATGCCATGTGAGGCTGAGAGCAGCCCAGGAAGCTGCTTTCTCTGTGGGGGGGGGGTGCTGGGAATCTATGGGGTTTCGGGAGCTGCAGAGAGTGATGGGGTGGAGTTGGCATTAGGGGGCTGCCAGGTAGCAGGTAGCATGTTCTATTCTCTTTCCAAGAAAGGCTTTTTGGTACATCTATGGGGAAACCAGGCCCACCCACTTTGCTTTTTATTCAGTCGCACCTGAGAACTCCTAGCAAAGGAGGGAGAGAAGGAAGGGAGATTGGCAGTGGGAGGGTTGCCAGCGTGGTGCTCCTGCGCTCCTCTTGTGCTCCCTGGTTTCCCGCAGGCTCCTCTTGGCCCAGGTGGTCCACTGGCCAAATCCAGGTGTCAGGGAACAAGACTGGCATGCTCAGCAGAGCAGGTCTGGGAAGTGGCGTCCGCCTGGGGCCATCAGAAGGCAGCTCTTTGCTCCTGAAGACAAAAATGCCCCTCTCTGGGGGTGTTTGCCCCGGGGTCTCCTGCTGCCAGCCCCCGCCCAGGCATTGGGGGCAAGGAGGCTGTCAGGGGGAGGGCATCTTGGCTGGTTGTGGGGCTTCTCAGGAGGGGGGAGAAGGATCGAGGCTGCCTTATCTATTGACTGGAACCAGCGTGTGGGGTGGGGGTCTATGGGGTGTGTGCACAGTGGAGCCCCTTCCTCTGCCCCGGCGCCTGAGCCCCCCTTTTTTCCTGGCCCCTCCAGACCCTGAGCATGAGTGACGGGCTGATGAGCAAAGCAGCCACCATGGAGATCCCAATCCATGGCAACGGAGACTCCCGGCGTCTCGCTGAGGACGATGGTCTGGAGCAGGTAACGGGGAGGGGGTAAGAATGGGGGGGGGTCCACTGATGTCCCAGGCGCAGTGTGTGTGGCTTGCAAGGGGGAGATTTCAGGGGGGCTCTGTAAGCAGAGCTCTGATGGTTATCGGGCAGGGGAGGAAGTGGGACGCCTCACTTGCCTGTGGGGCCCCCACCCCCATTCTAGCAGTCCAGTTTGACTCCCCGCAGGCCACTGATTTTGGGGAACCAGGCCCTGCTGCAGAGCAGCCACCCTGGTTGAGGGGACGCCGCTGGGCCTGCCTGGCACCCCCTCCTCTCGGGCTGGGCTCTGCCACGTTCCCTTTCTCCCGCTGCAGGACCTCCAGCAGGTGATGGTGTCGGGCCCCAACCTGAACGAGACCAGCATTGTTTCCGGTGGCTACGGGGGCACCGCCGAGGGCATCATCCCCACCAGCGCCATCAAAGGTCAGGCAGCCTAAGAGAATCGCCGTGCTGCTCTCTGCGCGGGGAGGGGGCCAATCTCTGCCCACAGCCAAGCCCTGCCTGCCCGGGAAGGGCGTCCCTCGGCCAAGCACCCGTCAGCAAGGCCCCTCCCTCTACCCCCCTCCTTCGAAATGGGTCTCCTGCAGCCTCCCTTTCCCCTGACCCCCAGGGATGAAGAAGGCACGTAGCTCAGCCAGCACCTTGCCTGGGGAACTGTGCCCGCCTCGTGCTCCTCTGGGAGCCTGGCATCGTGTGCTCATGCCACCCTGTCCGTGTCTGCCGCAGCTCATCAACCCCCCTGTGTTATCCTGCACCCCCTCCATGGCTCCCCTCCTCCTCCCCACCCTGCCCGGTGCCCATCTCTGCCCTGCCTTGGGCCCCCTCCATTTCAGGCTCTCTCGTTCCATCTCACCCACCCCGAAGACCGCTCATCTCCCCCAGCCCGTCGGCTGCCAGCCGGATAGCCAGCCAGGCAGTTGCTGCCTCAGGTATTGCCCTGCCCCCCAAAGCCCCCCCCCCATGGGAGCAGTTGGGGTGCAGGCTTCCAGGGGAATGTAGGCGAGGCGGAGAGGTGTTTTCCTAGCCCCTCTTTCCATCTCCTGCCTCCTCCATGGGGCAGCTCAGCCTTTGGAGCATTGGGGGACCTTCCCCTTCCCCCTGCTCAGGAAGCCCCCTGCCCGCTCGGCCCTTGCAGGTTCCAATTTGCACCAGCCGCACTCCAACCCGGCCCTGGCAGGCGAGGAGGCCACGCGGGGCATCGCGGTGGAGAAGTTCGATGTCGTCAAGAAGTGGGGCATCAACACCTACAAGGTGAGCGGGGGGGGGGAGGCGTTGTGCTCAGCCCCAGCAAGAGGGGGCGCTGGTGTGGCTCAGCCTGAACCAGGCAGGTGCCCTCTTCCTCACACGGATCGGTCTCTTGCTTCTGGATCGATCCCCTTTGGCCCACCAGTGAGTCTGCGCAGCTCCAAAAGGCAGGGGGCAGCCACTAAGCCGCTGGTCACCACCCACCCAAGGAGACCCTTGGCCCCCTTCCCAGAGGGCAGGAAGGGAGGGGCGGCCTTTTCAGCCGTGGCCCCTTTGTACAAGGCTTTCCCGGGCACCTGCTCTTCCTCCGTCTGGCAGCTGAGCTCTGCACGCCCACACGCCCTTGCTGTTTCAAGTCCCTTGGGCAGCTTTAGTGATCCTGGGAAGGGACCCCAGGGGGTCGCCCAACCCCCTGCAGGGTGAGGGCATCTTCCTCTCCGGGCGAGGCCCCCCTAGTTGCCCCTCCTCTTCTCCCTCCGCAGTGCACAAAGCAGCTGCTCTCGGAGCGCTTTGGGAGGGGCTCTCGGACCGTCGACCTGGAGCTGGAGACGCAGATTGAGCTCCTGCGGGACACCAAGCGCAAGTACGAGAGCGTCCTGGGCCTGGCCAGGGCCCTCACCAACCACTTCTACAGCCTGGTGCAGACGCAGCACGCCCTGGCCGACGCCTTCTCCGACCTCAGCCAGAAGTCCCCAGAGCTGCAGGTGGGGAACGCGCCCCACGCCCTTTGGGCAGGGGGGAGGCAGGATGGCCCAGAAGCCAGGCGGAGGGGAGGCCCCCGTCCTGCCTCTGGGGCCGTTTCCAAGGGCATCGGAAGCAAACGTCCTGCCTGGCAGGAGAGCAGCTAAAGCCACAAGGCAGCCACACGCCCCCCAGGAACGGCCCCCTGGAGGGCTTTGAAAGAGGATTGGGCAAATGTGTGGGGCAGGAGAGAGCTATCCAGTACACTGTCCTTGGGCTCTCAAGTTCTGGGGGGGTCCTTGCCTTTGGGGGCTGGCTTGTGGGGGGTCCGGGATGGTCAGCCCCCTTTTCAAGGCTCCCACCCCCCGCAGGAGGAGTTTGGCTACAACGCAGAGACCCAGAAGCTGCTGTGCAAGAACGGGGAGACTCTCCTGGGGGCCGTCAACTTCTTTGTCTCCAGCATCAACACGCTGGTCAACAAGACCATGGAGGACACTCTCATGACCGTCAAGCAGTATGAGACGGCCAGGTGGGGCTGCAAGAGGGGGAGAGGGGGAGCAGGGGGGGGAGCTCCAGGCAGGGCCCGGCAAATGCCCCGCTGCTGGTGGGTGGCTCTTTCCGGGGGCGCCAGGGGTGGGAGTTGTGCTGCTGCTTTGACACCCCCCCCCCGTGCAGGCTGGAGTACGACGCCTACCGCACGGACCTGGAGGAGCTGAACTTGGGCCCTCGGGACGCCAGCACCCTCTGCCGCCTGGACGCCGCCCAGGCCCACTTCCAGGCCCACCGCGCCAAGTACGAGAAGCTGCGGGCAGACGTGGCCGTCAAGCTGAAGTTCTTGGAGGAGAACAAGGTGAGGGGGGGGCTCCTGGTCAGAGGCCCCCCACACTGGCCTGTCCTCCATGCCTGGGTCCAGGAATCCCAGCCAGAGCATTCCTGGCCTCTGCTTCAAGGCCAGGCAAGAAGAGTCCAGGAGGGGCGCAAGGGGGGGCTTCTTTGGGTGGGGGGCGGAGTAAAGAAAGTCCTTCACGCAGCACAGAGCTGAACTGGGGAAGCAGTGGTGCCCTGCGGCCCCCTGAGATGCGCGGCTGGCCCCCCTGGGGGCTCCTGGCCTGCTCCAGGCGGCTCCTCTGACGCCCCCCCCCCCCCGTTGCAGGTGAAGGTGATGCACAAGCAGCTGCTGCTCTTCCACAACGCCATCTCGGCCTACTTTGCTGGCAACCAGCAGCAGCTGGAGCAGACGCTCAAACAGTTCAACGTCAAGCTGAAGAGCCCCGGAGCAGAGAAGCCCTCGTGGCTGGAGGAGCCGTGAAGCGCCGGCCCCCCTCCCCGGCCCCCCGTCCCCTCATGGACCTGGACTCTGGAGCAGAAGAGGCAGGCCGGGTGAGGAGGGGGCCCTGGCCGGCAGAGACAGCCTCTCCTCTCTCCCCCACCAGCTTTTCCTGCGGCTGATTGAGGGGCAGGGGACTCTCCCCCCACCCCGATTTTGCTCTGGGCTCTGGAGAAGGGGCCCCGCCTCCACCACCTCCCCCAGGCCTCTGGGGCCGGCACTTTGGACACACTCCATGGTGGTGGTGGGGAACAGCCACAAAAGAGGGGCTGGCATTTTGGGGAGGGGGAAGCGGGGTTCTCCCTCTTGCCACAAGGCAGCTCCAGCCCCACACTACACATTTCCTGCCCCCCTTGCTGGCATAAACAGGGAGGGGGGGCATCATCCTCTGGCCCCCAGCTGCTGTTCTGCTCCAGTACTTTTCTCTCGGGGGGTGAAGTGGGGGTCCTGCATTTGGGCAGCTCTGACCTCTCCCTAGTTGTGCTCCAAATTGTGGCGGGGGGGGGGGGAGCTGTGTGCAGGAGGCCTCAGTCTGGATGTGCTGCTATTGGGGTGGGGGGTGAATGTGAGGATCCCAAGCTGGGATTGCCCCCCCTCCCAGTATGGACCAAAAAGTAGCATGGCTTCAGCCTTGCGGGGAGGGGGGGATGTGTGTGCGTGTGTGTGTGTGCGTGTGTGTGCGTGTGTGTGTGTTTTACGGCCAGTACCCCTGTGTTGTGTTCCTAGGTGAGGGGGCTCCATGGGGGGTGGAGGCAGGGGGGGCACCAGGTGAAGGAATGGGTGCTTCTCCCTGCTGGGTCCCCCAACCCTCTCTGTAAAGATTCCAGAATAAACGGTACGAATCAGAGCCTGCCATGCTCCTGTTGCCGACGCCAGGGGAGCCCTCAGCCTGGCACACTCCTACTCTGTGGCAGGGCCCCCCCCCATCATTCCTCTTGATCTGTGTGGGATGGGGGGTGCAGGCAGGGGAGGGCTGCCAGGCAGGCAGAAGGAGGAGGCGCCCAGCAAGACCCCCATATTGCAGGGGGTTGGACTAGAAAACTCTTTGGGCCCCTTCTCATTCTGTCCTCCCCCCTTCTTGTCTCTCCGTTGAAGCCTGCCTGTCTGGCCGCTGCATTGGAGGAAGCGGGGGGCCGGGGAGGGCCTGCCTCTCTCCCCTGGGGGTCAGCCAGATGCCCTCACAAGGCTCCCTTCCAGAAGGGGCTCCTGGCCGCCCCCTTGACAGACCCCCTGGCTCCTCCTTCCAGGCTCCCCCAGCAGCCGAGGCCCCCTCCCCATGTAGTCTGTTGCGTTTCAGTCGAAGAAGCATGACTTCCATTACTAAGAGGAATGATGGAGAGATCCAGGAGGAGGAGGAGGAGCGGGTGACCTTGGAGACAATCAAAAGGGTTGCGTAGAAATAAAGTGCAATGTTCTGTTTCTAACTGGAGAAAAGCTCTTCTGTGGGGATCCCTCCTACGGACAGACCTTCTTCTGCGGGGGGGATTCCCTCGGGGGCACACGGGGGGGGCCAAGAGAGCTGGCCAAAGCTGCCTCAGCTGACCTGAGAGTGGACTGGAAGAGTGAAGTCTTCCTCTTCCTGGGAGGTGCAGGGCTGGCGAGGGAGCTGGCTGGCCTCTGCTGCCGCACAGAGGGTAAGCACAGAGCTTGGAGAGCCAAGTTCCCAGTTCCAGCCTCAACTAGCTAATCTGGAGAAAGCAAAGGCAGCAGTGCTGGCTCCTTTGTTCTCAGAATAGTGCCAAGGTGACCTCTTGAGGTTCGAGAGAGAAGTGGGAGGAAGCTGTGGAACAGGATGCAACCTAGGAAGTTGCCTGAGCAGCAGGGAGCTCAGCTCAAGAGGTGAGAAGCCCAGGGACAGCCGGGCAGCTGGGACTCCCTCTTTCCTGTGCAGACTTTCCTTTGCAAACTGAGTTGCACCCAAACGTCCAACGTAAAGCCTCTTCGTTGCCTGGGGAGGGGGGGTGTCTGGTTTTTGCATGATTTGTCACTTCTCTTGTCCTGCCCACACTTGTGTGGCTCTTGCAAGGTTGCCCCCCCCCCCCCGCGCTCAATGTAATCCAGTTCCTGCTGCAGCCAGGCAGGTGCCCGGGGGGGGGGTGTGTCTCTGTGCTGGAGGTCCTGATCTGGCCCCTGGCCCCCTGTCTTCCCCCTGGGAGACTTGTCCTGTGGGGAACACAAGGACCTGCCCCGCCTGACACTCGTGGAGCAGCTCCCTTTGAGCAAAAAGCTGGAGTCCTCTCTTGAGTTCAGTTTTTAAAAAAGACTAGTAAAGGGACTTGAAAGAGGTGTCTAAAATTATGCACGGTGTGGGGAAAGTGGATCGAGAGAGCATGCGCGCGCACGCACACCCGGATGCTAGACCATGAGAAGCACCAGTCCAGCATCCTGCTCTCGCAGCCAAGGGGGTGCTCTGGGGAAACCAGCGACCAGCACCTGCTCCTGGGAGTCAGAGGGATGTTGCCTCTGACAGGAGGGAGCAGAGCATCTGCCTCTTGGGGGAGACACTGGAGGAGGGCGCCATCCCTTGCCCTGCTAGAAGAAATGCCTTCTCTTCCCCATCCGGACTCTTCACTTTTTTGGTTGCCCACAGCTTGTTCTTTTATACAGTGGTACCTCAGGTTAAGAACTTAATTCGTTCCGGAGGGCCATTCTTAACCTGAAACTGTTCTTAACCTGAAGCACCACTTTTGCTAATGGGGCCTCCCGCTGCCGCCGTGCGATTTCTGTTCTCATCCTGAAGCAAAGTTCTTAACCCGAGGGACTATTTCTTGGTTGGCAGAGTCTGTAACCTGAAGCGTCTGTAACCCAAGGTACCACTGTACATTTGCTTATTCTATCTTTAACAATGCTTGGCCACCACTTGTCTGGGGACAGGTGTAGTTGGACTGTAATTTCCAGGATCCCCCCGAATCCCTTTTTAAAAATTGGTGTTGCATTGGCTGCTTTCCAGTTCTCAGGCATGCAGGCTGATCCAAGGGACGGGGTACATTTTTTAAAAAAGACGATTGACAGTTTCACATTTGAATTCTTAGAGAATCCTTGAGTGGGTCAGTTTCTGTCTTGTCTGTGGGCCTAGAATTCACTTCTCATCGTTGTTTCCTGCCTCAGTTCCTTAGACCTCCTTCCTGCAAATGTTAGTCCAGGCACTGGGATCTGCCCCGTATCTTATGTTGCAGCTTCTCTGCACTCTCCTTATCCTCCTTTGGCACACTTTGGACTCCCTGGTCATCCCAGGGTCCAACTGCCACCATAGCCAGTCTCCTGCTACTAATACATTTAAAGCTGCTTAATGTTTTCAGCAATGTGCTCCTCGGTTTCAGTTTTGGCAGCCCTTTCCATCTGCTTGCACCTGGGGTTTTTTTTTGTGAAAGCTTGTTTCATTTGGACAAGACTTCATTTCCCAAGGGAAGCCTTCTTGCCTCCAATAGCTGCTTCTTGGCGTCTTTCCTGATCTGCAGTGTACACCAGCTGAGCTCCTCGTATCTCTTGGGAACCGGGGGGGGGGGCATCCATGGATGCAGGACAAAGTCCTTGGTGCAGCACAGTTAAGCTATGGAACTCCCTCCCACAGGAGGCGGGGGGGGGGGTCGCCAGCTTGGATGGCTCTGAAAGAGGAGGGGGAAAATTCAAGATTGCAACAACAGGATATCATAAAAAGAGGAATCCGGCAATCTCTGAGATCAGCGAGAGCCTCACCATAAAATGCCTGAGGTTCCTTCACAAATTGGCAGCCAGCCCCCCTCTGGACTCCCTCACCTATTGCAGGCCCAAAAAGAGGGGGGCAGGAGGGAGAGGAACACTTATGGGGCTCGGGTAGGAGGCCAGGAGAGGACTCCCAAGTGGTGCTAGAAGCAGGAGCCCCACGGCCTCCACCCCAAAGGCCTTGGTTGGTGGGGGCACTATAGGGAGAGCTCCAAGAAACAGCACACCCCCCCCCCCCGCATATCTCGGTTGGAAAGGAGCGGCTGGGAGCACGTCGAGACATGCCGAAGGAAGCAGAGCCCAGTCCTGCCACGTCCAGCAGACCGCTGCCCAAGCAATGGCATGCGGAAGGCGGGCTAAAGGGCCCCTGCAGGACCCAGGAGTCCGGCCGCTCCCTCTCTCGTAGTCCCGCCTCCCTCTCAGGTTTCCAGCCGTGGGGACACCTGGAAAAAATTGCTGGGGGGCGGGGAGCACAGAAGGGATGAAGTCTATTTGTAGGCCGGGGTGTGACGCACACCTTAATATCTCTGAAAGAAGTACAACAGCCCCTGTTGTGACGGAGTCAAGCAATGGGGGGGGGGCTCCTTGGTTGGGGACCTCCCGCCCCCCGTCACCAGCGGAGATGCGGCCGCCGGTGCCCTTTTTTGGGCGCCTTCAGCCACCAGCTGAAATATAACGGGAGCTGAGATGGAGAAGAAGGAACAGTTGTTCGCCCCGTCGCAGCTCGGCAGCGCCGCCCCCGGGATGGACGCCGAGGCAGCCGTCGGTTGTCGCGGGACAGGGGCGAGCGAGTCTTCCTGGACCTCGCCAGCCTTGCTTTGTGGGGGCAAGCCAGGACTGTCCACTCCGGTGGGGAGCGGGAGGGGCGTCGTCGGTGGCGGCCCTTTCCCGTCGGGGCTTCTTTGAAACCTGCGTGAGCTGCGGGGCAGAGACCTGGCCTGGGCAGCAACAAGGCGGTGGGGAAGGGAAGGGAGGAGGGGCGTCTGGGCGCCACCCTCGCCTGGCTTTCTCGGTCTTATCCCTCCGCGTGCTAGCTCTGGGCTTCATCGGGAAGAGGCCGGTGCTCCCGCCCCGTCCCTTGGCGCTCAAGCCCTCAGGTGATACGTCTAGAGCCAGGCTGGGTGGGGCACGTCCGAGGCCGCCCCCTTCCGATGACTCCCTGACGCCGTGGGCTGGGAGCGGACATCCCCGACGGCTCTCGACGCGCCTGTACTGTACTCTCTTCTCTTCCTACCGACAATGGTGACCGTCCGGAGCTCTCCCGCCTCGCCCACAGACTGGACGGGCCCCGCGGTGACCCCCGACGCCGCCGCCGCCTCCCTCTCGACGTCTCCTCTGCCCCCGGACCCCGCGGCTGCCTCGCCGCCGCCTCCGCTGCCGCCGCCCCCGCCGCCGCCCGTCGGCTTGAGCCCCGGAGCGCCACGGGCCTGGCCGGGCGGGGAGGGGTGCTCGGGGCGGCGGGCGGCGCGGCTGCGCAACTTCAACTGGGAGGCCATCCCGGCAGAGCGCATCCGGGGGCGCCACAACCTCTGGACGGCGCCCGGGCGGCGTCGGGGCGACGGCTTCCCGCTGGACCTCGCCCTCCTGGAGGAGCTTTTCGGGCAGCGCCCGGAGCCGTCCGGGGGGAGCCTGCGGGGGCAGCCGCCGGCAGAGCAGGTGAGCCCGACGGGGCGGACGGTGACGCAGCGGGCTTTGCCCTCCCGGGCGCCCAGAAGGGGCCCCTGGGAGCCCCGTGTGTGGCCGCCTGTCTGGGGAAGTGGGGGGCGCGAACAGATCTGCTGGGGTGCCAGAGGCAGCCTTGAGAAAGGAGAGGAGAGGGTTGTGCGGCCCATCTCCTGAGGCCCTGAGTGTGAGAGCAGAGCGGAGGGAGAAAGGTGTGGGGCTGGCCTGCTCTCTCCCCCAGGACAAGGGGACCTGGCATGGTCGGGGGGAGTCACCCAGCTCAGTCCCTGGCTCAGTCCCCAACTGAGAGGATCCAGCGGAAGGAGAGGGGAGCGTCAGTGAGCTGCTGCCTGTCAGGGCAGAGGGAGCACCCAAGAACCAGTCACCTGGTCTTGCCCAAGCTAGCTGCCTTTCTTGGGACCCCCTGCCCCTTGATGTGAAATGCAGCTATTGGCACCTGGAGCCTTGGAGCTGGGCTGGGGGGCTCAGTGCCATTTGGGTGGCGTCTTTCAAGGGTGACGCCTGCCCTGGTTGGATGGGAGAGCAGGTGAAGCATCAGGAATGGGGGATCTGGTTTGGAAGAAAGCCTCTTCCCAGAAGGCAGCTGCCCGAGGGAAGCAGGACTGGGCTCTGGGCTTCTAGGAAGGTGCTGGGCCAGGGTCAGGGCCTCGGTGGCGCAGAGAGGTTTGTGTGTGTGACATGTGGTGGCCGGGAGAGGCTGCGCTTTCTTGCTCAAGTCCTTCCCTGCTTCTCCTCCTCCCTCCAGGTCTCCCTGCTGGACTCCAAGAAGATTCTGAACCTGGGCATCTTCCTCAAGCAGTTCAAGAGGTAGGTGGCAGGCAGGCAGGCAGGAGGGCGGCTGGGCTGGACCCCCAGAGGGGTGGTGAGGGGGCCTTTGGCTGGTGCAGAAGACGCCAGCCCAGGTAAGGGAGCTGCCTCGTCTCTCTTCCCAGGCCAGTCCAGGAGATTGTGGCCGATATCCAGGATGGAGCAGGAGCCCTTTACGGGGCGGAGAAGCTGCTGGAGTTGACAAAGATGCTGCCTGATGCGGAGGAGGTGACTGCTGGGAAATGGGGGGGGGGGCAGGAGGCTTGCTCTGCTCCCCAACTCCCAAGTGACACCTCCCCTTTTCTCTTTGGGAAGGCCAAGAAGCTGGCTGCGTTCCGAGGCTGCCAGAGCCGCCTCTCGGAGGCTGAGGTCTTTGCCCTGCTCCTCGTCCAGGTGCCCAGGTGAGAGGGTTGGCGTGGGTCCAGGGGGGAGCAGAGGCTTCAGCCGGCCCTTCTGCTCCTGCTGGGCTGCCCCAGAGCAGAGGGACAGGGATGCCCTCCTCAAGGACCAGGAAACCAAGCCTGGTGAGGAACGGTTGAGGGCGTTGGGCATGTGTAGCCCAGAGAAGAGAAGGCTGAGAGCGCTCCTCTGATATCTGGAGGGCCAATAAAGAAAGAAAGAATTAACGGCGGAAGATGGAGCTGTTTTCTGCTTCTCTGGAAGGCATGAAACAAGGGATTCAACTCTCAAGAAAGGAGATTCCAACTAAACATGAGGAAGGACTTTCTGGTGTGTTTGATTCCCTGAGAGGTTTTTGAGCAGAGCTGGTGTGGCACCAGCCATGGATTCTGGAGCTGCCATTCCTGCGCTGCAGCGGCTGGACTAGAGGACCCTTGAGGTCTCTTCCAGCCCAGCGGTTCCATGATTCCCTCCTTCTCTTTGCCCTGCCAGCTACGTCCACCGCCTGAAGCTCCTGGTCTTGCAGGAGGAGTTCTTCCCCCAGCTCAACTCGCTGCAGTCGGCCATCCAGATTCTGACAGAGGCAGCCCTAGGTACCCATGGGGAGGGGGGGCACCTGAGTCCTGGGCATGTGGCTTGACTCTCCCTGCTCAGGACGGGCTGGGAGGAGAATGAACGGGGGCCAGACATTGCCTGGAGGCTGCAGAATGGCTATCGGCTTGTCCTGGTGGCAATGCAAAATTCAGAAGTGGGGATCTGTCAGCCATTCAGTTGACAGGGCTGGTGTCCCAGAGGCAATGTGGGGTCACTGGAGTCACCTGCAGGGGTGCCATCCCACCCACCCCCCTTCACCAGTATGGACTGGATTGATCTCTGCCGCCCCCCTGATCTCATTTTTCCCCTCCCCTCCCCCAGAGTTGTTGGAGTGTGAGGAGCTGCACGAACTCCTCCAGCTGGTGCTGAAGGCAGGAAACTACATGAATGAGGTGAGGGGGCTTGGCTGGCGGGGGGCAGAGGACCTGCCCTTCAGCGGGTGGCGCAACCTGGCCCCTGAGTCTCTGCTCTGAGCACCGTGGGCAGTTGGCACCTGGCCAGCCAGGGCTTCTTTGGGTATGGGGCTGGTGAGAAGAGCTTTGGGGAGGGGCATGGGCAGCAGCAGCAGCAGCAGGCAGGGCATGAGCTGTGGCAAAAGAGGCTGGCCGTTGGGCTGGCATGCTCTGGCCTGTGACTCCACCTGAGGACAGCTCTGTTTCAGGAAGGTTTTGATGTTTGATGAGGATGTTTACCTGAGCTTTGGTTGGAAACTGCCCAGAGTGGCTGAGGCAACCCAGTCAGATGAGTGGGGTATAATTTCTTCTTCTTATTATTATTAATTATTAAGACGGGTGTCCCCTCTCCCTGCAGGGAGGCTACGCTGGCTCTGCGCTGGGCTTCCGCATGTCCTCGCTGCTGAGGCTCACGGACACCAAGGCCAACCGGCCAGGAATGGACCTTCTGCACTTTGTTGCCCTGGTGAGCTCTACCAGCCCCTGAGGGGGCACAGCGGGTAGGAAGGGGGCTGGTGGGGTGTGCCCCATGTGGGTGGTGCCCTCAGCAAACGCCGGCAGAAGGAGGGCCAGAAAAAGGACTCCTTTCCTCGTGATCGGTCCCTAGCGTGGAATTTGCCCTTTTCATGGCTGCCATCCATGGGGTTGACGTCTCCAACGACCCATCCACTATGACCCCAACATCTTGCTCCTGGTCTGTATATAGGGGAAATTAAGATGGTTTTGCTCCAGCTTGCACTCTTTACACCTGTTCGCACTGAATTGCATTTGTCCTTGGGCCACCCATTTCCTCTGTTCATGAAGAGCTCCAAAAGGACCTCTGCAATCTGTTTGTTTGTTTGTTTTTTACCATCCTGAACAATTTAGCATCATCAACATGATTTGGTGCCTTGCTGCTCGCCTCTTGCTCCAGTTTAAAAACAGATACCGGTCCTTTGGCCGGTCTGTCAGTTCCTCCTCTCAGTTTCCTGTCCTGGAAGAAGACCGGGGCTGCCTTGGCCCTTGCTTTCTCCCCGTGGGGCAGAAGGTGGTGTTCTCTTCCCATGGACTCTAACCAGCTTCCTGGCTGAGCAGGGACTGAGCCAGATTCCCCCTTCCACTCTTTCTCCCCTTTCCCTGCCTTGACCCTGCAGTCGTCTTCCTGGAAGGACAGGGCAAGGTCTCCAGGGCTAACTCACCACCTCCTTCTCCCCGCAGGAGGCAGAGAAGAAGGACCCGACTCTCCTGCACTTCCCCAGCAAGCTGCAGCACGTGGGGCCTGCTTCGCGGTGAGGAAGGGCAGTGCTCTGTGCCCCCATTTGGAGTGGGGGGGGGAGAGAATGGGAATGAAGGGGTTGGGGGGCATCCCTTCCAGTTCCTGCCCTTGCTCCAGTTCCTCATTTGCTCTCTTGTCTTTCCTGCTGGGCCTTCTGAAGCAGACTGGGCTTGCAGCTGCGGGGTGTGTGTGTGTGTGTAGTCTGGCAGTGGGGGGGGGGAATGAAGCAAGCGCAGCTCCCCAACACCTTGTGCGCTCCCTTTGCAGGATCGTTGACCAGGAGGTGATGGTGGAGCTGGAGAGCCTGGGGCAGCGTCTTCTGAGTGCCCAGGGGGAGCTGGAGGGCCTGGGTCTGGGCGCCCAGGTGGGGCCCTTTGTGCAGGTGGCTGCGGTGGAGCTGCAGGCCGTCAGGGCCTCCCAGGAGGGCCTGAGCCAGACCGCGGCCACCCTGTGCGACTTCCTCTGCGAGGACCCCGAGACCTTCAACCTGACTGAGTGCTGCCGCATCTTCCAGTCCTTCGGAGAGCGGTTCCTGGCTGCCGTGCAGGTAAAACCTGCCCCCCCAACGCACTGGTGGGGTGGTGGCCTGAAGGGGGCAGTCTATGGGCCTCTGGAGGGACATAGGAAGGCGTCTTATAGCTACTCCAGCCATTGGCAGCCAAGGCTTTCCAGGGACATTCCCAGCCCCTTCTGCAGGTGCCCCTGGTGGGAACTGAGCCTTCTGCAGGCCACTGAGTTAAGGGCCCTCCCCCAGTCCTGATCACAATTGAACCTTCCCCCCATCTGGAGGGCAGTGGTGGGATATCCCCTTGGGGGGCAGGGGACTCCTCTGAGGTGGGGAGGCAGATCAGGCCCCAAAACAACACCACCACAAACTGGCTTAGAAAACCAAATTTACTGGAATAATAGCTAGAATAGAGATAGACTTGTAACCATTCCAGCAACAAGCATACTAAGGCGCCATGTGCAAAACAAAGGCTGTTCAAATCAAAGCCACTACCCATCTCTCCGAACAGCTGGATGAGACAAAAAGCACTCCAATTACAATGTGTGGTAAATCATAAAAATTAGAAAATATCAGTCTCATACTATACCTTACCCAGTCATACAAAATGGTTTGCTCAGGATAAAGAAAGTGCCCGATGAAGCGTGTAGCGAAACCTGTAAAATATCCAGAGAAGGGGTCTCCTTTTGCCCACTTGCCTGATTCTCACCAGGGGGTGGGTTTGATTTGCCTCCCTGTGACTGATCCAGGCACACATTGCTTGAATGGATACAAGTCTATCTCTATTCTAGCTATTATTCTAGTAAATTTGGTTTTATACTTATAAGCCAGTTTGTGGTGTTGTTGTTTTGTTGCATTGGCTTAGAGCCCCCTCACCAGTCGGGGCAGAGACTGCGGGTTGGGTTCCTCGCAGTGGCTCTGCCTGGGGCACCTGAAGCTCCTTGCATGGCCTCCCGCTTTGCTGTGGCTCCAGCACCCCCTGCAGAGTGCAGGATCAGCTCCTGGCTCCCTCCTTCACGCAGCACATAGTGGGACTGCGGAACTCCCTGCCACAGGAGGCAAGGCGGCCACCAACCTGGATGCCTTGAAAGGAGGATTAGACAAATTCCTGGAGGCAGAGAGGTATTTGGAAGGCAGCTAGCCAGGGTGTCTCTGTTTCTGGGAAGCGCAGGAGGGGAGAGCTTTGGTGCTCGGAGGGGCCCCTGGTTGGCCCCGGAAAGAACAGGATGCTGGCGCAGATGGCTCTTCTTCTCATGTCCTCCTCCTCCTTCTCCCCAGGACAACCAGGCTCGGGAGGCCGCCGTGTGCCGGCAGCAGCGCCAGGAGCGTGAGCGCAAGGAGAAGCAGAAGCGGCGCTCCATCGCCAGTTGCTCAGCCCGCGACCCTGGTCTGCAGGACGTGGAGCTAGACCTCTTCTTCCTGCGGCCCCCCCGCTCCCGGAGGCGCAACCGGTCCCAGCAGGGCCTCCGCCTCGCCCTGGAGAGCCCCCAGAGCACCAGAGAGAGGCGGAGACACACGCTCACCGCCCTGCCCCCCTGCACAGAGCCCCCCAGGCCAGCAGAGCCAGAAGCCGCCCCGGCCACCCCCACCCTCCCCCCAGGCTGTGGCAAGAAGGCCGGGGGGCTCTTTGGGCAGGGTCTCAAGGCCTTCCTCAGGTCCCCCCCATGGCCACCGTGGCCGCCTCCCCCCAAGGCCCTGCCTCGCCCGAAGCCCCCAGCGGCTTCCGCTTCCCCACCCTCTTCCAGAAGAAGACCCCCCAGGAGGGCCCAGAGCTCCCCACCTCCCCCCTGGCTTCCCCCAAGGACGTCTCTGCTCTGGTGGGCTTCTTCCGCCGCCTGAGTGTGGGGGAAAAGCCACGGCAGGGAGCCCAGCTCTGAGGGTCCCAGGGCAAAGCTGCTGCCAGGCAACCCCTCCCCACAGAACATGGGGGGCCAGTTGGGGGGCCCTTCTCTCCCGCTGCCCACCTTGTACCGCCTCCACTCAAACTCTGCACTAGCCCAGAAGAACTGGTGTCTTGCTGCTCCCCTCCTGCCCCCCCCCGTCCTTGCAGGATCAGCCCCCTTTTCTCAGGCCACAGAGCCAAGGGCTGCAGCCGGCAATTTTAAAGTCTCTCCCCCCGCCCACCAATAAAACACTTTTATATTCTCTCATCTCCCCTTTTTAAAAACTGTTCTGTCCGTTGACACTCAATAAACTTTTTTGGAGCTATTTCTTGCCTGAGTGTGATCTGAGCCCCAGGGACTTTGCAAACTCATCCTTCCGGGGGGTGGGGGTGGACTGGGGGGTGTTTTAAACTGTCGATTGACATCACCGTATTTTTCGCCCTATAGGACGCACTTTTCCCCCTCCAAAAATGAAGGGGAAATGTGTGTGCATCCTATGGGGCAAATACAGGCTTTCGCTGAAGCCTGGAGAGCGAGGGGGTCGGTGTGCACTGACCTCTCTCGCTCTCCAGGCTTCAGGCAGCTATCCGCAAGCCTTTGGGGCCCGGCGGGAGTTCCCGCAGGGCTGCGAAGGCTTGCGGGCAGCAGCATGCAGCCCAAAGCATGGGGCGCGCCCCATGCTTAGCGCAGATGTCCGCAAGCCTTGCGAGCCCGGCAGGAGTTCCCGCCGGGCTCGCAAGGCTTGCGGATAGCAGCCTGTTCTGGGGGCTGGGGTCGGGGGAAGCTCGGGCCTAAAGGGCGAAAAATACGGTATGTTCAATCAAGGCCAAGGGACCTGCATCCACTGGATCCTCATCATGGTTCGATTTTGCTCAATAGCAACTCAGGGGAACTGGGAATAAAGCTTATTCACACAACAAGAAGCACCCACAGACATGTAACTGAAACAAATCTCTTGGCTCTGTTGATATACAAAGCTTGAAAGAAATGATAAATGGAGATGATATGAAATGGAATTACAAACAATACAGAATGTATACAGAAAAGGGGAAATAGAAAATTGAGTATATGGTAATTCACACAAATATGACTGATTGAATGATTGCAATTGGATATGATTTTTTATGCTGATTAGCAAATGGCAAGCACTGGCAAAGCAATCCTAACATCTTTGATAATAAATTTTTATTAATTTTCAATATCAATCCAATAATACTCATTATAACAATACCAAATTATAATACAATTACTAATACCAACTGTTCAAATACAAAATTATATAATTTATATAATTTAGGTGGCGTCCCGTGTGCTAGAACTGATGGCTGATGATTTTATTTCTGTGTTCCAAAATAATATGAATTTCAATTATATCCCAGTCAAAAAAATAATCCCTTATACAACAACTGCAATATTCACTCCATAAAGGAAGGGGAAGAGTCAGCTCTAACTTTCCATCGCAAACCTTTTCGTAACCATCGTAAAAGAGAGTTGCCCTCCCTTTTTCCTTTTTTTTACACGCTCACTTCTGTTTAACATTGTCTTCCATATCTACAATATGGATCAGGGTTGGTTTCTAACTGCTTCAACCATTCCTCATCAGGCTTGGTTTCCAGACCCTTCATCATCCTGGTCTCCCTCCTCTGTATCTCCTTTCAGCTGCTCAATCTCTCTCTTCAACTAGCCAGCACTGACCGGCAGAAGCTCTCCAGGGGTTCAGACGGGGGGGGGGGACACACACATCGCTAGGCCCCCCCAGAGATGCTGCCCAGGATGGAAGACCTGCATGCCAAGCAGATGGTCCAATCCTGCACTGTGGAGACCCCTAGCCTGCCTGGGAGGATGTGGGGCTGGACTCCCTTTGGGAATGGGGCTGCAGGAAGAAGGAGGTGAAAGGCAGGCAGGCGGAGCAGCAGGGGCCTCCCAGTTCTGAAGGAGGAGCATCACCAGGTGGGCCCAGGTCCAGGTGAGGGGGTTGCCACGGTGACAAGGACCCGCCCTCCTTTGTGACATCTCTTGCTTCTCCTTTAAAAGCCACTGACTCGCAGGCAGCCATTGTGGGTTAGGAGTGAGGCGAGAGGAGGAGGAGGAGTTAGTGGCAGTTGGTGGAGATTAGGCAGAGTATTAGTGAATTGTTATTTTTTCATTTTCCTATTTTGATTTCATTTATTACTTTGATTTATTTGATTTATTTTGATTTTCTTTTATTCTTTTAATTTTTATTTTAACACTTATTTTTTAGTTCTTTATTTTAATATTTTTATTTTTGTTCTTTGTTTTTTATTTTACATTTTTTGTGCACATCTGTGCATATTTTGTATATATTTTGTATATTTTATTTTGTGCATAGAGGACTAGTTAGCGTTAGGTGTAGGGTTAGGATGGGGGTTGGGATCATAGTTAGGCTTGGGTGGGCATTTTAGATAGTTACTTTAGATAGGAGGGTGGGATCTTTTCGTGGACGACGTGGGCAGGCTGTAGGTAGCATTCCTTCCCTTTCTCTTCATCTCCTGGGGGGGGGGGGTTGAGTCCTGGGTCCCCTGCCCAGTCTTGGCTCTCTGGAGAGGCCTGGTCTTTATTCAATGAACTGTTGCAACAAGACTTCCAACTACCACATGGAAGAAGCCCATTTCACCCACAACACCTTTTAATAAAATGCCATACATACATCACATCTGTGTCACAAATTGGGAGGGTTTTTCTGGCGGAATCCTGAGTGGTCCATGTTTCACAAGCCGACAGTTGGGTTGGTAGTAGAAGAGCCTAGACTGAAACTCCAAAGACTCATTTCAATGGACCAAGAACGGTTTCCCCCTTTCCCAGTGGAGTTCCCTATTTAGAGAGGAGAGGCCATGGCGGGTCGGGAGCTGCAGTGCCTGTGAGCTTTGTGCTGGAGGCTGCTGTTTTGTGGCGCTCATTGGTTGCTATTGGACAGTTATTTGGATAGTCTGAGTGGATTGGTTTATGGGAGCCTTTGGAATAGAACAAGGAAAGGACTGTGTTATGATGTGTTTTGTGGGGAAATTTGCAGAAGTGGTGGTGTTGATGGTTTTCCCAGTGGTTTTCCCAGTATGGAAGTGAGAGCTGGACCATAAAGAAGGCTGATCACCGAAGAATGGATGCTTTTGAATTCTGGTGCTGGAGGAGACTCTTGAGAGTCCCATGGACTGCAAGAAGATACAACCTCTCCATTCTGAAGGAAATCAGCCCTGAGTGCTCACTGGAAGGACAGATCCTGAAGCTGAGGCTCCAAGACTTTGACCAAACTGTGAGAGGCAGTGGAAGACAATCTGAGCAGCCTGAAAGCAAAGAGTAAGTAACCTTCCGTCATAGAGCTTCAGTATGCTGATGACAACATAGCGTGCGCACGCTCAGAGGATGACCTCCAAACCATCCTAAATATCTTTGCAGAAGCTTACGAAAAATTTGGCCTGTCGCTCAACATCCAAAAAGCCAAAGTGCTGTACCAACAAGTACAAAATAACCCCTCTGCAGTGCCACAAATCCAACTCAATGGTGTAACGTTGGAAAATGTCAATCACTTCTCCTACCTGGGCAGTTATCTTTCCACAAGGGCCAACAATGATGCCAAAATCCAGCATCACCTGATCTCTGTGAGTGTGGCTTTCTCCCAATTGAAGTGCAGAGTGTTTGAGGACCGGGACATTTGCAGGGAAACCAAAATGCTTGTTTACAAAGTTATTGTACTACCAACCTTACTATATGCTTGTGAAACATGGACCACTTATAAACGCCATCTCCCAACTCCTCAAAAGATTCCATCAACGGTGTCTCTGAAAAATCTGACACATCGCTTGGGAAGACAGGTGAGCTAATGCCAGTGTATTGGAAGAAGCAAAGGTCACCAGTGTTGAAGCAATGATGCTTCAACATCAACTTCGTTGGACTGGCCATGTTGCTCGGATGTCTGACGATCATCTTCCAAAGCAACTACTCTATTCCGAACTTTAAAATGGAAAGCGTAATACTGGTGGTCAACAAAAGAGGTTTAAAGACTGTCTCAAGGCAAATGTAGTATAAACACCGACAACTGGGAAACCCTGGCCTGCGAGCGCTCCAGTTGGAGAACAGCCTTGACCAAAGGTGTCATGGGCTTTGAAGCCACTCGAACTCAGGACACAAGGAAGAAATGTGCTAAGAGGAAGGCACGCTTGGCAAACCCTCACTGGGATCAACTCCTGCCTGGAAACCAATGTCCCCACTGTGGAAGGACGTGTGGATCCAGAATTGGCCTCCACAGTCACTTATGGACTCACTGTTAAAACTGTGTTTACTGAAGACAATCTTACTGGACTATGAGTGATGCCAAAGAAGAAGAAAACATTTCCAACCTGGGACCTTTGGCTGAAGGTTGGGTCCAAATGTGGGGAATAAAGGCCTGTGGAATAATTCTGCCTCTCATTTTCCTTCTCTTTCATCTAGATGACATCATCATTGAAGATTTATAGGCAGTGTGGACCTTGGGCTCCGCTGGACACCAGAGGCCACTGGGTAAGGAGGAAAGTGGTTTTTCTCCGTTTGGTCTCATTCTGTTGCTTTTGCAACTAATCTGTGGAGGGGGGGTTCTTCTTGTTTTGGGGGGACTGTTGGGAACAAGGGTCCAGAGGAGAGGAGATGTATTGTTGCACAACTAACATATGAAATGGGCACAAACGTCCAACTGCACTCAGCAGGTAAGGCTTTCTGAAAGGCCCATCTGTAGTTAGAGATGCCCTGTTTCACTCCTGGCATCCTGCTTACATTTTTTCTTTTGCAGGAGACAGAATGATGCTGGCAAAACCTCCTGATCCATCTTTTCATGGGGACAGAAGGCAAACAGCGGCTGTGGAACCAGATCAGGTCAGGGGAAGCTGCCTTGTGGGGACAGAGGCTGAGGGATGGAGCAATGTCATGGACTGGTTGGGCACAGAGGAATGGTGGGAGGAAGCAGCCGGGGAACCAGGAAGGGAAGAGGTCTCAGCCCAAGGAGTGGAGGTGGAGGAAGGATGAGCGGTTGGAGGGAGAAGAGGCCGGGCAACCAGGGGAGGGGAGCCAATTGGTCTCAAACCCTCGGTGAGGAAGGGACACGTGCTGTAGAGGGAAGTGAGGGGCGATGGGGAGAACTCGAGGATCCCATTGAGGAGAACTCTGATTCTCAACCTCGGCTGCCTTCCTTCAGGAGAAGAAAAGGCTCCAGAGTAAACCTACAATGTAACTGGCTGTGTTTAACTATATAAATTCTTTATACATCATATAAACATAACTCTTTTCACATTCTCTAGTTAAGTAGAAGCTATTAAGGACCAACATTTAGAATAGGAAATAC